GTGTGTGTGTGTGTGTGTGTGTGTGTGTGTGTGTGTGTGTGTGTGTGTGTGTGTGTTTGTGTGTGTGTGTGTGTGTGTGTGTGTGAGCGCGTGTGTATGTGCTTGTGCGCGCGTGTGTGTCTGTGTGTGCGCACGCGTGTGTGTGCGGACGTATGTGCTACTGATGGATGTACACACTTACATGGACACGGGCCAGCCGTGCTTGCAGATGTAGAAAGAGCCACAGTCATTTGGGTCGTCAGCGAACGTCTGGTTTCCCAAATTAGGGTTGCATGCGTCCTCCACCTCGATTGGAGTTCCAAACCTCTTGGACCTCAGCGGGATAGCCACGGCTGCAAGAACAACGCAACGACATCAGTGCTATTGTCATCATCAACGTCAGCGCTATCGTCACTATCGACGCCGGCGCCATCGTCATCATCGACGTCGACGCTACCGTAAGCGCAAATATTTGATAAGTCTGATATGTTTTGTTTTCTCTATGTTCCAAATCGTGTCGTTGTGGCTGTCATCATTACGTGTCTGTCATTACGATGTCAACGATGTCGTTTCGTCACGTGATAACGACGCGAAGTAATCGGTGTTGCATCACGATTTTTGGTGGCTCACGGTGACCGACGTGCACACCCGCGCCATCTACATCCGCATTCCGCGTCGGTAGCGCACGTGCCACCCACTCGATTAGCGGTTAAATGTGTCATGTCACTTTCTAACGGAAGCGGACAACACACGCACACCGTTATAGACACTAGAAATAAGCACGGCGCGCTCTTGTCATTGATAAATGTCGTCGCTTGGCCTGATTTCGAATCGGCGACAGTTTCAGCGTGGTCCCGCCGTATTTCGCGTCCGCGTGCGCACGCGTCTGTATTTTCACTGATGTTCCCGCGAATTGAAACACACTGGTGACGAATAGAACTGAATCAAACAATGATGTCCCCCTAACATAGTAACGCACGTGAGAAATCGATCACTACACTGTGAGAATCTTTGTTTAAATTCTTTTCTGGGTGGAGATAGTCGCGAGGGTGGTCGAGCGAGATGGGATGTGGGTTGTTGTTGTTGTTGCACGGAGGGAGTTCTAGACTAGATGGAAGAGGGACGCATTATACGTCGACTGTTGTAAACATGTAAACATGTAAACATGTAAACATGTAAACAAGTTGGTGACACGGCTTCCAACTTGTGCGCAGTTAAACGCACTGCGCGTGTGTGACACAAATGTGATGACGTCATTTACTGACGTAAATTTTCGGGATTGGTTAGAAGTTCCGATGGGCACTTAATTGTTTTCAAAAGTAAGCTCCTTATCACCGATATAGCAATGAGATTATACTACTATTCCATAATTACACTAATCCACGATTACCATAACTATAATGTGACTGAGGGTGCGTACGGATATAAAGGAAGGTTGATTTCGCACGCCTATCACCTGATCTAAGTCTCTCTCTATGTGTGTGGGTGAGTGTGTGTGTGTGTGTGTGTGTGTGTGTGTGTGTGTGTGTGTGTGTGTGTGTGTGTGTTGTTGTTGTTAGTTGTGTGTGTGAAAAGATGTTGGCGATGTGCAATTGCCAGGTCACTCCGCGCACAGCCGTGGTATGTGTGTGTGTGTGTGTGTGTGTGTGTGTGTGGTGTGTGTGTGGTGTGTGTGTACGGCGCGCAGTGTGTGTGCGCGGCGTTGTATGTGTGTGGTGTGCTGTGTGTGTGTGT